CAACAGTAATGTTGAAAAATTCAGTTAAATTCTCCAGTTAAAAGACACAGAGTGGCTGTATGGATAAATAAAAACATATGTTGTTATATGTTGTTTACAAGAAACATAACTCATTGATAAAGATATACATAGAATATCTTTTCCAGCCCTTCATTTTCAGTCTATGTAAACAGAAACCAAAAAAAATTTAGAGTCACAAAACTGATGTTAGACAGAAACTAAGAAGAGGGGCCACCAGGTGGTGTGGTGTTTAAAGTGCTGGACACTCCCACATGGCTGACTGCAGTTCAAGTCTCAGACCTGGTGGCTTGCTTTCTCACTTTCTCTCTCTCTGTCTGTCTCTCTCTGGTCAAATTTAAATAAATAAATGAATAAATAAAATAAAAAATTCTTTAAAAGAAAAAAATAAGAGACAGAGAAGAACACTATATATTGAGTTATTGGAAGAGTCACAATGTATTTTCACATAGAAAGAATATGCCATGACTTCTCCAGAAACCCAATAGCACTAAGAGGATTAATTCACCAAAAAGATACAACACTTATAAACATTTATGCACCTAATACTGGAGCACCCAAATATTGTGAAAGGAAGACTGCTATATCTTAAGGGAGAGATAAACTACCAACACACTGATCATGGGGGATTTCAACTCTACTATCAACTCTGGACAGGTCATCTAGACAAAAAATAAAGAGATACAGAACTAAATGATACCATAAACAAATGGATTTGACAAACCTACAGAACATTTCACCCAACAGCCACAAAATGCCCATTTTTCTCATTCCCACATTTTCAAAGATTGGACCACATGATAGGGCACAAAACGAGCCTTTAGAAATGGAATCAACTACAGAGAGAGCCCTTGAAAATACATGGAAACAAGGCAATCTACTCCTGAATGACTTCACAGTTAAGACAGAAATCAAGACTTACTGAAATCGATGAGAATGGACACATCTCCCCAGAATATTTGGGACACGGTGAAAGAAGTCATGAGAAGAAAATAGCAATTAGTGCTAACAAGAAAAAAAAAATACAAAGGTGGCAAACAACCTATTGACAGATCTCAAGGAACTGGAAAAACAACCAAAAAAACTAAAATATACCAGAAGGAAAAAGACAAGATTAGAGCAGATATGGGGCCAGCAAGTGGCATAGCAGTTATGTTGCCAGACTCCTACATGGCCAACTGCAGATCACTTCCTAGATCCAGCAACTTGAAAACCATGCTGGGTGCATGTGCATGCGTGCCCAAGATCCCAGAAAGTGAATGGAGGAGAAGGGATTATAGTGTGGTCATCCCCCCTGAGGGGTGATTTCTCACTTTCCCCTCTGTCTGTCTCTGGTGAGTGCACACCTCAAGGCAAAATCTTTTCAATAAGAAAAAACAGATATAGGGGCCAGCAGCTGGTGTGGTGGTTAGGGGCATTGGATTCCCATATGGCTGACAGATTTGAGTTCCAGACCTGGCAGTTTGCTTTCTCACTTCCCCTCTTGCTCTGTCCCTCTCTGGTCAAATTAAAATAAGTAGATAGATAGATAAATTAGATAAAGTAATCATTTGAAAAAGAAAAAAGCAAATAGAAATGAAAGAGAATCAAAAAATTATACCAAAAATAAAACCAAAAACTACTTTTTAATAGGATTAACAAAATTGACACACCATTTATTAGCCTAATCAAGAAGAACAGAGAAAACAAGATGAAATCATCAGTTAAGCAACATTACAACAGATATAACCAACACAAAAGATCATGAAAAAATACAAGGGACTATACAGCAACAAACAGGAAAACCTAGATGAGACAGACAAATTTTTGGACACATAATTTATCTAAATTGAATCAGACAGAAATAGCCCGAATAGACCAATCACAAGCAAAAGGATTGAATAATAGTCTCCCAACAACAACAACAAAAAAACCCAGGTCCCAATGGGTTAATTTATGAATTCTACAGAACTTTTAAAGAAGAGCTAACCT